GGTGCCGGGGACGGCCTCTCTGGGGTTTCTGGTGGGCATTCCGGCACTGCGTAATCGAGGGCATGTCGCATGTCCTCGGCCAAAGCTTGTGCCGCTGCTGCGGCCACAGCGCCACCCCCGAATGTTTCCAGCAATGCCGATTGCGCGGCCGCCGTGAGGCAGCCGTCAGGGCTTGCGCTCAAAGCAACGGCCGCGGGCAGCGGCAGAACCGAATCCGGAAAAGCCGTCAGAACGTTCACAAGGTCGATGTCTGCTGCGGCTACGGGCCTACGACCTTCATGGGCCTCCACATCCGCGACTGCACTGAGCAAGCGGGCGACGGCCTGTGGGTCCGCTGCTGGCGCATGGCGCATCGCTGAGACAAGAGCGACCCAACGGTCGCCCAAGCTCGGGTGCGAGCTCCAAGCCCGCATCGCTTCTTCAGACAAGGAGCCTGCGGCCGCATGCAAAAGTGGCACGTAAAGCCACGACGAGCGCGGTGGCCGCGCATCGCACAGCGCGGGCGCGTGCGCATCGCACGGCGCAAGCGCGTCCACTGGTGAGTACCCCGGGTCGCCTCGTCGGCCTGCGTTGGCGCGACTTCGCCATGTACGAGGTCCTCGGTCTCGCCCGGTGTGGGCGCGGTGGGGCGCGCGCGATTGTGTGCGAGGCTTAGGTAGCTGCGCGGCGTGTGCAGCGGCGAAGCGATTGCTGTGTGGGCGCTCAGGGTGTCCGAGACAGTCTCGGCGTCTGATTGGCCAGCCGTTGCGTCACCCGCATCGCCGTCTAGGCCAAGATGCGCCAGGGCGGCCAAGGCCCGCGCCCGAGACGAAGGATTCTCGCCAGATGGTCCTGGTTGGGACGCCTCGCCAACCCGGACCCCCTTCCATGGATCATGGGCAAGTTTTACTGCCGCCCGCCACGCCGGCGAGCGGCAGCGGTGGCAGGGCGCGGGGTGGCAGCCACAGGTGCCGTTGCATCGGCGAGTAGGTGGGCCATCAACGCGGCTGGCGTGCGCCCTGATGCCCCTGACACTTCGTGCAGTGCCGCGTCGCCGCCCTCCAACAGGTACTGCAGCACAGCCTGCCTGTGTGGGTCCCGCGTGCGGGCCAAGTGCTCGCGTAGCAGGGCCTCCCAACTTCCTGTGGCTTGCATCGTCTGGTAGCCCCCTGCCATTGCAACTAAAGCGGCCGCCGCTCGGCCGCCGAGAAGGCCGAGCAGGACGCCGAGCAGGAGCCAGCCCCAGGCGAGAGCAAGTGGCCCGAAGCCTGGAGTAAAGTACCGCGGCGTCGCCCCACTGCACGTGAGGGCCGCGTGGGCCAGGCTCTCCCTGCACGTTGCCGGCAAAGAAACAGCCCACCACAAAGCTGACGAGGCCGCGGAGTAAGCCCCGGCGCATGCCGACAGAAGCTGTCCGATCACCGCTGCCGACATGGCATGGAAAGTCCGGCTGCGCCGAATGGGGCGAAAAAACAGTTATTTCCGGCAATATCCATTTGGTCAACACCCAGCCAGCTTTGGGGAAACACCAGGTCAAACACTTGCGGAAATCGCCTTGCTGAAGGTTACTCCAGTTGTGTGTTGTTGTTTTTTTTTGTTTGGGTAGGGCCTTGTCGACCACCACCACCACGACCGCCACCGCCACCGCCCGCCACCGAAGGCCACCGCCACCGCCACCGCCGCCGCCACCGCCTCCGCCACCGCCACCGCTACCGCCACGACCACCACCACAACAACTATCACGGCTGCTGCTGCTCCTACTGCTACTACTACTACTACTACTACTACTACTACTACCACTACCACTACTCCTACTACTACTACTACTACTACTACCACTACTAGTACTAGTACTGCTACTACTACTACTACTACTACGACGACGACGACGCAACCGGTGGTCTTCGCATCGACAGCAGCAGTTGCACTAGCGGGGGATGAGGAGGTTCCAGGAGGGGCAACCACTTCCCAAATTGTGGCGACGAGAATCATAAGTTGAAGTACTAGCAGTCATGGCGCAGTTGTCATGGTACATCGGAAGAAGGCCATGTCGGCAAAATACCTATACGCTCTGCAGAAATTACATGGACACTGGTGCAACTCCAAGCAAAAGCGGAAAGGCTTCCAAGTGGATAGCGCCCTTTCCAGGCTGTCCCCGAGATACGAAAACTTGATATGGCTGAAGTAGGCGGATGGTTTTCTTCCAGAGCGTGGGCAAGGACATATACAATGGGAATGTCTACGAGCAAATAGCCTGGCACGTTGTTTGCAGCACCTGCCGCAAGCTGCTGCTCCAAGTCTCTTCGTAGGTATTTTGCAATCCTCAACTGGACGAGTGTTGTGCTGCATACATCACATGCGAGGCATTTCTGCCACCGGAGTGTTTTGCTTGGGTTGATTTGCAGACGACAACGAAGCAGCCTGAAGTATTCTAAAGTACGCCAGGAATCAAGTGCGGCGACACCTTCCAAAACAGACTGCGCGGCCTTGATAGGTTGAGCACGCGCAGAGAACAACATGCTTTGATAGTGTTTGCATCCCATCTAGACTTGGGCAATATCTCCTGTTACTCCTTTGCCTTCTGCTACGCACCGAACTTCTCATATAAACCTGCCATGGATAGATGCTTTAGGAGTTGGAAGCCCTACATTCTGACTGAGTAATCATAGGATTGGGCACCAGGATGCTGCTGTAATGTAGGGGCCTAAACAATTCCCGAGATTATGCTTCCACACTCCTTGTACAATTTAGAGTACAGGGTACTTCAAACAGATTTCAACGTGATCCCCACTTGTAGTGATCTAGGCCCCTATAATGTTGATACCTCCTATAGCCTAGCTGGGATTCATGGCAGACGTCCTTAAACCCCGTATCCCTAAACGTTTGAGGGTACAGAGCTTCGGGGTCATGCATGATAGATCGCCAATAGAGTTCCAAACGGGCGAGGGTTTAGGGTTTGTGGTGTAGGGCTTACGCAGTTTGACGTAATGCAAAGCATCTAAGCTCAATGGAGGCTGTATGGTCTTCTGGATATCCACTAGGTGTAAGCGTATCCATGTTAGTCAACCCATGACACCAATAACGTGTATAGCCGCGCCTACAACCTTTAACCTTGTTCATGACGCTCTTAGTCCGGTCAACTACAAGGCTTCTGGTAGCGCTACTTTAGCTGCATAACGCTGGTTCATGGACTGTAATTGAGGTTAAAACCAAGCGGCGCATCACGGCACATGTTCTGTTCAGCTTTCGCTACTTCCGAAGATGCATGCCTCAGAACTTTCACATTCAAGTCTACATGTTTTTTGGTGAGCCGATGATTCTTGAATGTCTGAGCGTCATACAAATCCTTCTAAGCCGAACGTTCTAGAACGAATGCGGGTGGCCGCCGGTATCCCACGCGACATTCGTTTCCATTTTCCCTCAAAGCTTGAACCCCAAACCCTAAGCACTTAGCAGTGCTCTAACCCTTTCAGTTTCCATATGTGTCCAAAGTATTGGCTTGATTGCAGGGACAATAAGTCAACCTTATTGTTCACATTATGCTAGCGTAGTTTGAGTCCTTAATGAATAACAACCCTTAACCCTATACACCTTAAGCCTTAAACCCTAAATCCGAAACCTTAAACCTGAAGTGCTTAACCCTAAACCCTAAACCCTAAACCCTGAATCCTCATCCCTGGGCCTAAAACCCTGACACCCCTGAAGTAGGCACAAATAATTTGTACTCACGGGTCCTTGCGTCGCGTTGACACAAGGCCCAAGAGAAGGCCCAAGGCTCTGCGAAAGGATGTAGGGTTTAGGGACCATGCCTACAGCAAGCTCTGTCCGTCACTCAGCAAGTTTAGTTGTAAAAGGTTTTAGGGTTTAGGGTTTAATTTTTCGGGTTTAGGCGTCTTTCGCGTTTTTAGGTTTAGGTGCCATATAGGAATGGAAATGGGAGTTTCTCAAAACTTGCAGGCCCCAAGGAACACTACGGGTATGTCGGAATTTCAGGGAGGTTATAGGGGTCCCCCTTTAGGATTACTTCGGGATTCTTCTGATAAACTCCCGAAAGTGCCGAGTATTGTACTTCAGGCTTACATGTTTGGATTCAGGGTTTATCATTTAGGATGGACTTTTCGTCCTTAAACCTTCAACCTAGCTCCTACGAGTAGTAATAGAAGTGGTAAGCTGAAAGTACCATGAGTCTTGAAGGTCTAAACGTTGTACTTGCTTGAGGCTCAGGATGAATCTTTGGGGTTTAGGGGTTCGGATTTAGGGTTTAGGGGTTTAGGAGTTAGGGTTTAGGGTGACATTTTGTCCAGCATTCTTAGGCGATTACAGATCATATTAGCTGGGACAAATCAGGCATTCGTGAGTTTACGCACTTTTTTTCGAGCAGAAGCCGAGTCGCTTTGCAGGACGCCTGGCTATGATTGAACCCAACGAATCCTAAGTACCTATACAGGGGATATTAGCCCAAACCATATTAGAAATTCCTGGTGTAGAAACCCAGCAATAGTCTAAACTCCTAGTATCCCTCTTCATATCCCCTATCAAAGTCCTGTATATAGCCCCCCTTTGAACTATAGCTCATATAAAGAGTAAGATTCGGGCCTTTCGGGGAAGGAGGCAGTGTTTGCAAGGATCGTGCAGTGCTCGGGAAGGACGTCCCTTGTATACATCTGCCCTAAGGATGTCAGCAACCCTATAGTTCAGAGAGGTCCTATGTAACCATGTGGGAAATCTACCACAACCATGAAGTATAGTCCCCCCTAAAGTAGATAGAATATGGGCGAAAAGGGGATCTTATTATAATATGGGTCAATTCCATAGTCTATCTACCTAACGGACTATAATTCCTAGTGGTTTGATGGCACCCTGTGTACGAAGAAGTTACTGGTCGCGAAAAGTCTTTGCGATCAAGAAGGCTACTTCATGTCATTGTTTAGTGCAGACAAGCATGCCGGCCTTCATCGCAAAATCGTGGTTAAGGATTACTGGGAGGATGTAAAACCAGATCCCCATGTGTCCTGTATTCGCCATGCTATTCTGGGCCCCTTGGGGCCCTCAGATGTGTGTTTACAGGGTTCAGGAGAACTGTTGTGGACGCTTCTGATTCGGTTTAGGGTTTAGGGTATTAGAGAGTCTTCAACCCCAGGCAGTCTGAACATTTTAATATCAGGTGGGGCTGGGGTTGTATAAAATCAGATGGCAGGACTTACCCCCTAGACCCTAAACCCTAAACACCTCAACCCTAAACCCCAAAACCCTAAAAACCCCTAAGCCCTAACCCCTAAATTTAGAATCCTCAGCAAGCCGAGGGGTTTCAAGCTAAGGGGCTTCTTGGAGCCTCAAGGTGGTCTTGTGTGACCACTGTTCAGATCCCGTTTAGGGTTTAGGTTTTAGGGCTTAGGGCTACCTGGACCCCAAAAGTAGGTAAAATAATGGCCTTTAGGGTTATTCTTATGGGTTTAGGGCTATTATTTTACATGCTTTTGGGGGTTTAGGCAACCCTAAGGGTCCAAGGACCCAAATAACGCGGTTTTAGGGCCCAAATACTATCATGTTAATAGTATTTGGGCCCTAAAACCCCATTAGTTGGGTCCTTGGACCCTTAGGGGGTTAAAGGCTTAGGGTTAAGGTTTCGGGCTTAGGGTTTTATTGTACGGCTGAGGGTTTATGGAATCCTACTATTACTGGTAATACTATGATTGGGTTATATACAGAACGGAAAAGAAAATGGGAACTAGTATTTAGGGTTTAGGGTTTATAAGGTTTAGGGTTCAAGGGTAAAGGTTAAGGTATGTTAAGGTTTAGGGTTTCGTGTGTAGGGTTGCCCCTGTTCACTGTAGGGCTCGGTAACCCATGTGCAACTCCCACAATCTGGATGTAACGTGCGCTCGCGTTCTTCCATCCAGGACCCACAGACTTGAACAAAAGGCCTGTGGAAATTGGTGCTCTACGGGGAGTTGTGGCATGAATGTAGTCATTTGGATGCTGAGGTGCACGGACTTTCGAACGAGTAAGAGTAGTAAGCAGCATAGCATGTGGATATAGCACAGACAGAGGTGCTTCTTTCTTGGAAACACCGCTGTGTAGGCAAGCACCTGAAACCTTAAACCCTAAGCCGTAAATCCCAAACCCTATATCCCCTACTGCACCCTGCCTCAAGCACTAGGGTTTATTTGGAGGGTCAGGGGGACTTCCTGGCAAGAGGTGCAGTCCGGTTGAAAAGAAGATTAACAACCCCTAAGTATGGGTAGTTTCCAAGATTGAGGTCCCATTTTGGTACCCCTAAATATGTGATGCCGTAATATCATTTCTACCCAACAGGGTCCATAGTTTTGAGAATAACCCCTTTCAGCCATTCAATGACTCCACTTATGCCCATTATTAACCTCTTGCTAGGTCCCCGGAGCCCCAACCCTAAACTCTAAACCAGGCCCTTCAAG